TGTTTGTTTGTTTATTTGTTCCCTCCCCCCAACCTTTCTGGAGAGTATCAGGAGAATTTTAGGCCAAAAGGGGGGATTTGACTGAGGGTATCCCCAAATAACAACTCAGGAAGTTTGATTGTGAGGGAAGGGTAGCATCTGGAGAGGTCAAAGGAGGAGTTTTCACTAGTCAGAGAATTGAGCATCATTAAGTGTTGATAGGAAAGAATGAGTAGAAAGGGATTAGTTAAAAAGATACAGGAAAGAGAATGAATAATCCAGGCACCTCAAACTCAAATATCTGAGGAGCCAGGTAGATAATCTAATTCCACAAAATACCACGTGCGGGCGTGCACGTACGGTGCGATTGAAACTTTGTGGCCCATGCGCAGAAGTCGGTATTTTGTGGAAGAGCCACACTCAAGGGGGCAAAGAGCCGCATGTGGCTCTAGAGCCGCAGTTTGCCGACCACTGACTAAATGAGTGACGCAGTGGGATGTGAGAAACAGACAAGACTGTCGGGAACTGCGAGAGACTGGAGGGTTAAGCTCCTTCTATATGTTGGCCTGAGGCTGGGGGAGTTCTGAGGGATGGTGGAACAGTTCTTGATTGCAATGGTAGTATATACACAAATATATATGTTGATCAAAACTGGTGGAAGTATACACTGAAAAAGATAGATTTTGCCTTCCATTTTTCCTTATGTTAAGTAAAATAAAAATATCAGGAAGAGAAACCTATGTGAGTTGGACATAGGATGGTGGAAAGATTTGCCTTAAATGGAGGAGAGATATAGTCTCTATGGTAGCAAGAGGAAAGATAGTAAAGAAGGGAAGGTGGGCAGGCAAGTTTGTGATAGAAATTTGAGGGGGTTTTGATCTGATGACCTCTATTTTGCCATTGAAGCAAGAGGCCCAGTCATCAGCTTACTATGAGGTGAGAAATGGGAAGTCAGATATTTGAGGAGAGTAGTGATGGTTTGATATAACCACAGAGGCGAATTCCAGAATGAATGAACTGGAAAGAGGTGACAGGATTGTTAGGTAGTATTTCAGGCCTTTCTGAGGTTGGTGATAATAAAATTAATTAGTAATAATAATAGTGACTAAAAATAAAACTTTATATTTTATATAAAGGAATTATGAAGGCAAAACTAGGGCTGGTATATGATTTTATTAGAGATCAAAACTACTACTTTTTACTTGAGCATCTTGACTTGCATGGTCACTTCATGGTTCAAGATGGCCAACCCAGCTGTACCAGAAGACAAAAAGGGGGCTATTCTGCTAAATCATATCTCTTTAAGCTTTCCTGCACCAACCACCCAACATTCTCCCTCAATTTGCTGGAATAAAGTCACATGACCACACCTGCATACTGGGGCAGTTGGGAAATGCAGTCTTTTATTCCTGGCAGCAATGTGTCCAACTAGGCATCAGGGTGCTATTATTAAAGATTATATATTAGAGCATGGTGTTGGTAGTCTCTACCACAGTGATCTGTCCTGTGGTGGGCTATCTGTTCTTCAATGGAGCATCTCAGGATGTGGCCATAGAGAAGCCTGAGAGTTGATTTCACCAGAAGAGTTGGGGTTTTATCAGATAAATGGTATAAAAGTGCTAAAAAGCAAGAGCCTCGAACTGTCTTGAGAGAGTGACTAAAATCATGAATCATGGATTGTAAAAAGGTTTGGGAGAAAAGTGAGAGAAGGAGGAAGTTGATGGGTGCAGAGAGAGTAGAGACAGTAATGACGTGGACAGCCTGATGCCACGGTGAAAGGGGCCTGAGGTAGAAATTAAGTGGGTAAGTTTGAGTAGTAGGAGGTCGTGGTGGAGTTAAGTTGTAGACAGACAGCTGCTAATCATCATTTTAAAGAGAGAAGATGGGACAACGACACTCTGAAGCTTAAGTGAAGATCAGGGAGTAACAAGAATCCACCAAACCTCTTCCCTGTTTCTCTCTCCTCCCCATCTACTTTCTACTTCTATGAGTCTGCATCTGTAGTATTTCAAACTGAGGGTGTATTGGGCACATTGTATGCCTCACCTCACATCCCCTCAGCCCACTTTAACTCCAGCTATTTCTGCAACAGCCAGGTGTGACCTGACAACATACCTCCTCGCAGGAGAGACCTGATAGCACTGGGTCTAAACCTCATCAGGAGCCTCTCACACTCTGTCTCAGTGTTTCTCTGACCTGCTGGGCACTCACTCATTTGCAAACCTGAAAAGGGGGGAGAAAGTCAATACCCAGGGCCCAATCCTTGACCACTGGGGACCAGGATCCGGTAAATAAGTGCTCCCTTTTATCTCATTCAGGGCGGACAATTCTTAAGCACATTCTACTTGGCTCTCCAGAGGATCCTAGCAGGACTAAGCCCCAAGTGCCCATAACAGTGACCAGCTTTATAAGACTTTTTAAAAATTTGTGCTAACACATAACGTGAAATTTACCACTTTAAAAGAATTTTGCAGTGTATAATTCAGTGACATCTAGTAGATTCAGTTGTGAAACTATCACCACTGGCCAATTGCCCAACATTTTCATCACACACACACACAAAAAAAAGACTTGTACCCATGTAGCCATCACTCTTCATTTCTCCCTAACCCAACACCTGGCAACTACGAATCCCTAAGAACTTGCCTAGTTTAGATATTTCATATAAATGGAATCATACAATATGTATCCTTTTCTGGCTGGATTCTTTTACTTAGCATATGTTTTTGAGATTCATCCATGCTGAAGTGGGTATCAGTACTTCATTCCTTGTTTGCTTGTTTGTTTAGTAAAACAAAATTTATTAGTCCCTCATTCCTTTTTATGGCAGAATAATATACCATTGTATGGATATACCATGTTTTGTTTACCTATTCAGCAGCTTATGAAAATTTAGGTTGTTTGCACCTTTGGCTATTGTGAATAGTACTGCTATGACCAATAATACATTTTAAAATTAAATTTATTAGGGGGACATTGGTTAATAGGATCATATAAGTTTCAAGTGTACATTTCTATGATACAAAATCTGTATATTACACTGTGTGCCCACCACCAAAATCAAACCACCATTCGTCATCATATATTAGGCCCCCTCAAACCCCCACTACCTTCTTCCCACTGGTGACTATTGCACTGTTGTCTGTGATAACACATTTTTACATTGGCTTTTCCTCCTTTCCTGTCAGTGTGGGAGATAGAATGGTATGAAAGAATCTGGAGCCCGACCAGGAGTGGGGATCAAACCTGTAACCCAGGTATGAGTCCTTGACTGGGAATAGAACCCACAACCCTTCGGTGGTTGGGCCACTGCTCTGTCCATTGAGCCACACCAGCCAGGGCCCCTGGCTCCTTTCAATCCTCATAAATACCTGGTGAGGTAGGCACTATTATCAAACCCATTTTATAGATGAGAAGACTGTGTTGGGCCCAGAGAGACTATGGGACTTACCTCAGGTCACCCAGTGGTGAATCCAGGTTCTAAAATGTGTTCCCTTTCTACACCTCATGTTATTGCCCATGAAGGGTCTTGCCTTTTCAACTTTTACTAAAAGGATGGGTGTTATTTCTCTACAAGGAGTAGGCACTCTGATCTTTTCTCTGGTTGCTGGACATTCTGTAGCTGCCTGTGTACATTCCACACCAAGTTTCTGTGACTAAGTTTCAGCCGTGGCCCAAAGCCCCCTCTGATCTCTTGACAAAGGAATATGGAGCAGGAGCACCCTTTCCTGGTTTGCATCCAATGGTCCCATGGCTCCTAGACCCCTGTCACAGGCCCAAGGACTCCACCTGGGCTTGACAATTACCTGTTTGTTGTTTTGGGAAGGTTCGACTTACATGTGGAATGAACTCAAGCAACTCCCTGGACAAATTTTAAACCACAGGAAGAGCCATTAGGCTAGGCAATGAAAGGTTTATTTAGAACCTGACAGGTAGAACCAGGTTAAGATCCTTCTGCGTCAGTCTGTTGCGATGTTAATGATTGTTCTGGTTTGGATTCTCATTGGTTAGGAGAGACTTTGGGCAAAAATCATTAAGGTGAGGTGTGGCTGTTCTCTAACCTAAGCAAGGGGCCAGGTCATTTAAGGATGGCTACATGGCTAAGCCATTGTTTCAGCACTTTCACCAGAGCCCTGGCTGTGAGATGGTTTCATCACCTGAAGGGTGTTGGCTTGGGATCAAGGAAGAGCATCATTACCTTTACACCTTGGTCTCCTTCTCTTGAGCCCCCACTTCCCCCCCACCCCAGTCCATTATTTATGACCCCTAAAATATCTACAAATGAATCAATAAAATAGAGCTCTTGTGGAGGCAGCAAATCAGGATTGTCATTAGAGAGGGGGAGGGGGTGGGAATCCCCATTTCCTTGTAAACACAGCATCCTGAAAGAGAGCATCTAGAATCAGGGGTGGGCAAACTTTTTGACTCGAGGGCCACAATGGGTTCGTAAACTGGACCGGAGGGCCGGAACAAAAGCATGGATGGAGTGTTTGTGTGAACTAATATACATTCAAATTAAACATCATTACATAAAAGGGTATGGTTTTTTTTTTTTTTTTAGTTTTATTCATTTCCAACGGGCCGAATCCGGCCCGCGGGCCGTAGTTTGCCCACGGCTGATCTAGATAGTGTTTAAGAATGAGACAAGGTGCCCTAGCCAGTTTGGCTCAGTGGATAGAGTGTTGGCCTGCAGACTGAAGAGTCCTGGGTTCAATTCCGGCCAAGGGCACATGCTCAGGTTGGGAGCTCAATCCCCTGTGGGGGGCGTGCAGGAGGCAGCCAACCAATGATTCCCTCTCATCATTAATGTTTCTATCGCGCTCTCTCTCCCTTCCTCTCTGAAATCAATAAAAATTAAAATAAATAAATAAATAAGAATGAGACAAGGTGTTCTGGGGTGCCCTGTGACTTACGCAACACCTCAAGGCTGGGGCAGGTGAGGTACTGATTAACCATTAACCAAAGTTCCAAGGTTCAAAACAGCAGCTGTTTCTACTAGTGGGAGAGAATTACTCACCGTCCCCTAACAATGACACTTATCTGTGGTCTCGGAAAGGAGTAAAAAACATGCTCCCCAGAGGGGCCTACTATCAGGACAGACATTATTTCCTCTATGCGCAGGATCTGAAGGTTAGTACTCACTCTTAATGTTTAACCTATAACAAATAAGATTATAGTGTGGAATGAGAAAAAGGAGTCTGATTTCTAAGGCACTTGATATAAAAGTAGCAGAATTTCTGGATGAGAGAATTACTTCCAGGTTAACTCATTTCCCAGTACTAGTCCCCAAACTTGGCCATCCCAATTAGTTTTCAAGTTAGGATGTCTGGACTGAGCACCTGGGGCAGCTGCCTGCACTACATCAGCCCCAGGAAATACCACACGTTTCCATCATAGTTTCAGGCTTGGTTAGTTGTTCTGGACAAAAGGACACCGGTTCCCCTCAATGGCTTGTGTTCAGCTGCTGACCAATGCCTTGGCTATTTGACTTCACTGTGGCATGAAATCATTGGCCTATAAAAGGAGTAGAGGCAGAAAGGGTTATGTAAGGTTCAGGTCTCAAAGTCAACAGAAAGGAGTTTCAGGTTGCTGGCTGACATTGCAGAGAAGGGAGTTTGGCATTTCAGGGGCAGGGTCCACGCTGCCTGTAGGGCCAGTCTGACCAGCAGCACACTCTCAGAGGAACTTCCCTCAAGCGCCAGCTGGATGGTTCCAGTTTGGGTCTATACAGCGTCAAGGCGTTTTGTCATGCACTTAGTTTCTCTTACAAGGCAGATGAGTGAAGTGTGGGATTCAGCCCAAACCTCAGAGCTACCGTGAGACTGGATTACTACAGGATTCTCAAACCTGAGTTAGAATCCTGACTCTACGATTAGCCTGTGCCCATGAACAAATTACATCCCTTCTCGAAGCCTCCGTTTCCTCATCTTCAAAGGGAGCAGAATAATAATATACCTCTCCAGGTTGTGAGGATTTCAGGAGATAAAGTTTGAAAGCACTTGGCCCAGTTCTGGGCACAAAGTCAGCGCTCGATAAATAGAAGGGATTATGACTATTTGAAAAGCATATATCTGCTCAAGTAGGGCCCTTCTCTCTTCTCAGGATTCCTTATTTGAGCTAAAGGAGCTCTTGGCTAGGACCACAGAGGTTGACCAGTTGGTAATGAACTTCATTACCTGTCATCCCATTTCATTTCTGGGTAGTTCACTCACTGTCCTAAAGGGCTTACCTATGGTGATTACCTCAGCAAATGACTCAGGTTTTGGGGTAATGAAGGAGGCAGGATTATGACTTGTTGACACCTTATTTGATATAATAAGTACAGCAGGGTGAAGGTGTTTGTTGAGAATCACAAGGCTGCGTCCAGCATCTGGAAATAGCTGAGCCTCACAGAGGCCTTGAGTTACCACAAAAGTTTTCTTTTGAATGCAGAACAATGATGATAATTTACATTCTCTAGATTTCTAAATTCACCTGTCCCTTGACTGAGGGATAGTCTCCAATATCAGGGAGATAATATATGTTACTTTTTTAAAAAGTTATTTATCACAGTGTAAATGCAACAGAGAGGATTTAAGATAACAAATGTCTGTCATTAAATTCAAAGATTAGCTTCACTATCTCCTTCCCATTAATTAAAAGCTTAAATTTATAGATTGAGCCTAAAAATCTCATTGTTTCCCATTAAATCCCACCTTAATCCTTGAGAAACTGATCTGTGTCTGACATATTGACACAACCAACATATCCCAAACTCAATTCATTGTTCCCCTTAAACTGCCTCTCTTTCTCATTTTGTCCATGGCTTTACAATGTTCTAGGGATCCTTTAAAAATGTAAGTCAAGCCTAGCTGGCTCGGCTCAGTGGATACAGCATCGGCCTGTGAACTGAGGGGTTCTGGGTTTGATTCCGGTCAAGGGCACATGCCCAGGTTGCTGGCTCAATCCCTGATAGGAGGCAGCCGATCATTGATTCTCTCTCTTCGTTGATGTTTCTATCTCTCTCTCCCTCTCCCTTCCTCTCTGAAATCAATAAAAATATATTTTTTAAAAATGTAAGTCAAATAATATCTTTATACACTGTAATATTCAGGTTTTCATATGAGTGAGAACCCAAACATAGAGATCTTGGTGTGATCTCTGATTCTTCAACCACCTTTCCTCTCTGTTCAGGAGTCACCTGGTCCTGTTGCTGTATCATGGTCATACAGACTGGTTAAGATCCTGAGTTCCATCAGTAGACCTTCCTGGGTATGATGCCTGGCTTTACCACTTACAGCTGTGAAACATTAATCCTGTTACTTAACATCTCTGTGCCTTAATAGCCTCATCTTTTAAATATGAAAAATAACAGTTAATTCATCATAGAGCTGCTGTAATAGTTAAGTGAGATAATGTGCCAGCAATTAGTAAGTACTTGATACAGTTCTGCTACCAATTTTATTATTACAAATAATCTAGAATATGTTCCTTACTCTCTATTTTATTGTAGCTGTTCCATTTTAAGGTTTTATATTTTTGTCCTGGGCTACAGATACTGATGTTTAATTTTATACTGCTTCCAGATTTCCCCTCATTACCCTGTCCTGCAGAGCTCTGCCAAACTGGTCTTCCTGCCCTGGGAGTTGCCTAAATCTATCTGAATGTTTTTACCACCCTTTATTGGACTTCTCCTCAGTTTTGAGGAGGTGAAGGTGAGAGAGTAGAAGATACCCATACCTCAAGTCTTGCCATACTCTCTCTTTCTCTCCCTTCCTAGACCACATGGCTTTCAGCTCCCTTTTCATTTTTTTTTTTTTTTAATTTGAAGGTGGAGATGTTCCCTGATATGTTCAGGTATTTATCTTTTTTTTTTTTTAATTAAATCTTTATTGTTCAGATTATTGCATTTGTTCCTCTTTTTTTCCCCCCATAACTCCCCTCCTCCCAGTTCCCGCCCCACCCTCCGCCCTCACTCCCCACCCACTGTCCTCATCCATAGGTGCACGATTTTTGTCCAGTCTCTTCCCGCATCTCCCACACCCCTTTCCCCCCCAGGAATAGTCAGTCCATTCCCTTTCTATGTCCCTGATTCTATTATAATCAACAGTTCATTCTGTTCATCAGATTATTTATTCACTTGATTCTTAGATTCACTTGTTGATAGATGCATATTTGTTGTTCATAATTTGTATCTTTACCTTTTTCTTCCTCTTCCCCTTCTTAAAGGATACCTTTCAGCATTTCATATAATCCTGGTTTGGTGGTGATGAACTCCTTTAGCTTTTCCTTATCTGTGAAGCTCTTTATCTGACCTTCAATTCTGAATGATAGCTTTGCTGGATAAAGTAATCTTGGTTGTAGGTTCTTGGCATTCATCACTTTGAATATTTCTTGCCACTCCCTTCTGGCCTGCAAAGTTTCTGTTGAGAAATCAGCTGACAGTCGTATGGGTATTCCCTTGTAGGTAACTGAGTAACTGAGTTTCTTTCTCTTACTGTTTTTAAGATTCTCTCTTTATCTTTTGCTCTTGGCATTTTAATTATGATGTGTCTTGGTGTGGTCCTCTTTGGATTCCTTTTGTTTGGGGTTCTCCGCGCTTCTTGGACCTGTAAGTCCATTTCTTTCACCAGGTGGGGGAAGTTTTCTGTCATTATTTCTTCAAATAGGTTTTCAATATCTTGCTCTCTCTCATCTTCTGGCACCCCTATAATTCTGATGTTGGTACGCTTGAAGCTGTCCCAGAGGCTCCTTACACTATCCTCGCATTTTTGGATTCTTTTTTCATTTTGCTTTTCCGGTTGGGTGTTTTTTGCTTCCTCGCATTTCAAATCATTGACTTGATTCTTGCGCTCCTCTGGTCTGCTGTCGGGAGTCTGTATAATATTCGTTATTTCAGTCCGTGTATGGTTAATTTCTAGTTGGTTCCCCAATATAAGATCGAGGGTCTTATTAGTTTTCTTGTAGATCTCATTAAGTTTATCGGCGGCTTCTAAACAGTTCTTGAGAGACCTTAAAAGTGTGGTTCTGAACTCTATATCTTCCATTGACAATTTTGTCCTGTTTCTTTGTCTCCGCATTTTGTTATCTCCCTTTTCATTTTTTATGCTCTTCTCTTATGTCTATCTTCTTATTTTGTACTCCAGTGTCATGACCTAAAGATAAAGGCTAAATGACCTAAGGGAACATTGAAAGGATATGAGAAAGTTCTGTCTCCAAGAAGTTAAACACCCACAATGAGAGATCCTTGTTCAGTTTGTTTATAGAGTGCCAGGTGTTGGGAACACAGCAATGAATAAGATACTATTCCTGCCCGTAAGAAGCTTCAATCTGGAATGAGAAGACAGACTAGAAAACAGATTGTAACTCAATATGGTAAGTGAAATATGGATGGTATTTACAAGGTTCTATGGCGATACAGAAGAGCAATCCATACCATCCTGAAAAGGGTTTGAGGGCATGGTGGATTAGAATCAGGGAATGCTTCCCAAAGGTAAGCTTTGAAAGTCAAGTAGGAATTGTATTACCAAGGTTGGGATGGTGTAAGAATAAGGCAAGAGGGGCAGTATCAAGAACCCAACTGGGAGTCCAAGTGGAGCAAGCAAGCTGAGTGGTTATGTGGTCGAGTCTTGGAGACCAGTAGAGCTTGCAGCATGGCTGACCAACTGAAGAGCAGATTGCAGAATTCAAAGAAGCTTTTTCACTGTTTGATAAAGATGGTGATAGAACTGTAACAACAAAGGAATTGGGAATTGTAATGAGGTCTCTTGGGCAGAATCCCACAGAAGCAGAGTTACAGGACATGATTAATGAGTGGATGCTGATGGTAATGGCATAATTGACTTCCCAGAATTTCTGAGAATGAAATTTGCCTCAAATCCATTCCAAGTTGTGTATTTGTTTCCCCCCCCCCAAAAAATGTACCCCTCTCCCTTCCCCGAAAAGGTAGAGCACTGCAAGTAAAGAAATGGAGGCATGAAACAGTATCGTGTGCTTTAGGACCTAGGACAGGGGTGGGCAAACTTTTTGACTCGAGGGCCACAATGGGTTCTTAAACTGGACCGGAGGGCCAGAACAAAAGCATGGATGGAGTGTTTGTGTGAACTAATATAAATTCAAATTAAACATCATTACATAAAAGGGTACGGTCTTTTTTTTTTTTTTAGTTTTATTCATTTCAAATGGGCCGGATCCGGCCCACGGGCCGTAGTTTGCCCATGGCTGATTAGTGTATAGCTTAATATAAATGGGCTATCAAATAAGGAGATGAGGCATTTGGGATTTATGAAAAATCTGCTAATGAAGCATGTTTACACAGTATGTATAATAAATATTAATATAGAAGGAAATAAAAACCAGGAGGGAAAAAAAAAGACAATGGGTCTGAATGAAAGTGGCTCCGGCAGAGGCTCTGGGAGCCAGGAGCAGCCAGGCTTGGGCTATCTCACAGAGAATTTGCCCCTTATTCTTTTTTTCAATGTATTTTTATTGTTGATAGTATTACAGTTACCTCCCATTCCCCCCCCCCTTAGTCTTTTTTTATTGATTTTTTTTTTAAGAGAGAGAAGAAGGGAGAGAGAAGAAGAAGAAGAAGAAGAAGAAGAAGAAGAAGAAGAAGAAGAAGAAGAAGAAGAAGAAGAAAGAGAGAGAGAGAGAGAGAGAAAACATTGATCAGTTGCCTACTACACATGCCCTATCTAGGGATCAAACCCACAACCTAGGTAAGTGCCCTCACTGGAAATTGAACTTGATAACTTTGGTGCACAGGATAAGGCTCCAACCAACTGAAGCCACACCAGCCAGGGCTCCTCCTCTTCTTCTTTTTTTTTAATTAAATCTTTATTTTTCAGATTATTACATTTGTTCCTCTTTTTTCCCCCCATAACTCCCATCCTCCCAGTTCCCACCCCACCCTCTGCCCTCACTCCCCACCCACTGTCCTCATCCATAGGTGCACGATTTTTGTCCAGTCTCTTCCCGCATCTCCCACACCCCTTTCCCCCCCAAGAATAGTCAGTCCATTCCCTTTCTATGTCCCTGATTCTATTATAATCACCAGTTCATTCTGTTCATCAGATTATTTATTCACTTGATTCTTAGATTCACTTGTTGATAGATGCATATTTGTTGTTCATAATTTTTTTTTTAAATATATTTTATTGATTTTTTACAGAGAGGAAGGGAGGGAGATAGAGAGTTAGAAACATCGATGAGAGAGAAACATCGATCAGCTGCCTCCTGCACATTTCCCACTGGGGAAGTGCCCGCAACCCAGGTACATGCCCTTGACCGGAATCGAACCTGGGACCTTTCAGTCCGCAGGCCGACGCTCTATCCACTGAGCCAAACCGGTTTCGGCCATAATTTTTATCTTTACCTTTTTCTTCTCCTTCCTCTTCTTAAAGAATACCTTTCAGCATTTCATATAATACTGGTTTGGTGGTGATGAACTCCTTTAGCTTTTTCTTATCTGTGAAGCTCTTTATCTGACCTTCAATTCTGAATGATAGCTTTGCTGGATAAAGTAATCTTGATTGTAGGTTCTTGCTATTTATCACTTTGAATATTTCTTGCCACTCCCTTCTGGCCTGCATAGTTTTTGTTGAGAAAGCAGCTGACAATTGTATGGGTACTCCCTTGTAGGTAACTGACTTTTTTTCTCTTGCTGCTTTTAAGATTCTCTCTTTGTCTTTTGCCCTTGGCATTTTAATTATGATGTGTCTTGGTGTGGTCCTCTTTGGATTCCTTTTGTTTGGGGTTCTTTGCGCTTCCTGGACTTGTAAGTCTATTTCTTTCACCAGGTAGGGGAAGTTTTCTGTCATTATTTCTTTAAATAGGTTTTCAATATCTTGCCCTCTCTCTTCTTCTGGCACCCCTATAATTCGGATGTTGGTACGCTTGAAGTTGTCTCAGAGGCTCCTTACACTATCTTGATATTTTTGGATTCTTTTTCTTTTCCGGTTGGGTATTTTTTGCTTCTTCGTATTTCAAATCTTTGACTTGATTCTTGGGATCCTCTTGTCTGCTGTTGGATCTCTGTATATTATTCTTTATTTCAGTCAGTGTATGCTTAATTTCTAGTTGGTCCTTTTTCATATCCTCAAGGGTCTCACTAAATTTATCGGCGGTTTCTAGAAAATTCTTGAAAAACCTTATAACCGTGGTTTTGAACTCTATATCCAATAGTTTGCTTTCCTCCATTTCTGTCATTTGTGATATGTTTCTTTGTCTCCACATTTTGGCTGCTTCCCTGTGTTGATAGAGTGGCTTTCTGTGCTAGGTGTCCTATAGGGCCCAGTGGCTCAGCCTCCCCAATTACCTAAGTTGGACACTCTTGGTGCACCCCTTTGTGGGCTGTGTGCACAGTCTTGTTGTAGTTAAGCCTTGATTGTTGTTGGTATCAGTGGGAGGAATTGACCTCCAGGCCAATTGTCTGTGAGAATCAGCTGTGTCTACAGTGGGAGAACTTCTGTGCTGAAGACACCCTTCTGGGGCAAGACTTGCTTCAGTGGGGCTTTGGTGCTCACTGAGTCTGCCCACTGAGTGTGTCCCTTATGGGTCTGAGGGGTTGTAATCTGGATGGTCCCAATCTGACCACTGGGTGCACGGGCTCTTGGATCTCTAAGGAGGTGCTAATTTAGCCTCTGCCTGAGGCTACCCAGCAGGAGCTATGGAGAGATCTGCAGATTCCTCTTCCTTGTTTGGGGTTTGAAGGTGCCCAAATGAGGCCCAGCTGTGAAGCAATGCAAGCTGCTGTGGGGCCTTGGGCCTTCTCTTGGAAGTTCTGGGTCTGTCTGGCCCAGCTGAAGTTTGTTAGGTAATTTTCAGATTGCAAAGGGCCAGGGCATTCATATGCAAAAGCCTCTGCTAGCAGCTTGGGTGGGGCTGGGTCTCAGGGAATCAACAGGGCGGAGCAAACAGCTATGGCTGATCCTCAGCCCTGTCCTAAGAGGCCCCCGGGTCTCAGTGTCCCGTCTCAGTGTCCCGGTAATCACTGCAAGCACCTCTGAGAGAAAGCTGCCCTCCAGTTTCGCCTGATGTCAGACAATACATATGAGTCCTGGGTCCCCAGAGACTCGCCCAGAACTGGAGTTCAGAGCAGTCGGGAGTTTGTGACTCCCTCCTGATTGAAAAAGACACTGGTGTCCTCCGTTGCCAGCCCTTTCCGTACGCGCACCTCCATACCTCTGCACTTTACTTCCTCACCTCCTCTGAGTCTCAGTGTGCTTTTCTCTTTCCTTCTAGTTGTAGAATTTCCACTCAGCCAGCCTTCCTGTGGTTCTGGATGATGTCTGTTTTGTCTTTTAGTTGTAGTTTCGAAGTGGTTGTGCGAGGCAGCAATTTCCGGTGTTTACCTATGTCGCCATCTCGGTTTCTCCCCCTCTTATTCTTCAAGCTACAATTTGTGTTTCTAGTTCAGCCCTTTTTATTTGCTAGTTCTATTCCTGTATTTGGTCTGGTTATTTACAGAAGGAAAAAAAAAAGTGAGTGAATGTGGAGAGTGAGGAGGGAGGTTATAAAATAGATACTATTTGAATAAGTAGTTCTCCATTTGGATGTTTAACAGACTCCCAAAGTCAACACATCCAACCTAAAACTTCTGATCTATGCCCACAAATCTGCACACCCATAGTCTCCTCCAACTCAGTTGACAGCAACTCCAACTTTCCAGTTACTTAGGCCTAAAGTCTTGAAGCCCTTTCTTTCTTTCTTTCTTTCTTTCTTTCTTTCTTTCTTTCTTTCTTTCTTTCTTTCTTTCTTTCTTTCTCTCTCTCTCTTCTCTTCCTTCCTTCCTTCCTTCCTTCCTTCTTCCTTCCTTCCTCCCTCCCTCCCTCCCTCTCCTCCCTCCTTCCTCCTTCCTTCCTTCCTTCCTTCCTTCCTTCCTTCCTTCCTTCCTTCCTTGAAATTCTGTTGGCTCTTCCTTCAGAATATACCTGAAATTCCACCATTTTTCACCTTCCTAGATGAATCTACATCATCTCTCACCTTGATTACTGCAGCAGCCTTCCACTATGTCCATTTTGAGGGATCCTTTCAAAATGTAAGTCAAATAATATCACCCAAACCCTTTTTAACCTAGATCAAAATCTATTTTTAATTACAATGAATTCCTTTAGGAGCTTTGCTCTTGGCATTCCTTCTGCCTGAAAAAAACATTTTCTCCAATAATCTAATTAACTAACTCTGTCACCTCAAGTCTTTGCTAAAATGCCACTGCTCAGTGAGAGTGACCCTATCTACCCTATTTAATATTATAACCTGCTACCTCCATCCCCATACACTCCTTATCCTCCTTACTCTACTCTACTTTTTCTTTTCTCCACCGTCTTTATC